AGCGGGAGCGGGAGCGGCAGCGGGAGCGGGAGCGGCAGCGGGAGCGGGAGCGGGAGCGGCAGCGGGAGCGGGAGCGGGAGCGGCAGCGGGAGCGGGAGCGGGAGCGGGAGCGGGAGCGGCAGCGGGAGCGGGAGCGGGAGCGGGAGCGGGAGCGGCAGCGGGAGCGGGAGCGGCTATTGTATTAGCGGCAATTTTTAACCAAATTAAGATAAAAGGAAATATTTATGACATCCAGGTGTGCTCCTAAGCGGTGTTTCTTCGAATTTGCTTTTTTGCGTTTCTGGTTATAGTGTGTTATCAGTGCTTGCAGTGAACATACACGTCTTCTACGCAACTATTCCTATCACAATTCGAAAGACTAACATTTAACGTGTTAATCATGCCGAAAAAATCTGAACTTAGTGCTGAACAGCGTCTAAGAATTAAGATTTTACATGAACAAGGCATGTCTCAGGTTAAAATAGCCCGAGAAGTGAAGTGCTCGCGATGTGCAGTTCAATATGCTATAAATCGCTTCAAAGAGATTGGCACCCATGAAAATAGACCAAGAACAGGCAGAAGAAAAGTTACTACTGAACGGGAAGATCGATTGTTGATTAGGCAGTCTCTACAAAACAGGAAAAAAACTGCTTTAGAGCTCGCTGCAGCATTATCTGAGTCAAAAGGCAGCTCAGTGAGTGTTTATACTGTGAGAAGAAGACTTCTTAAAGCTGGATTAAAAGGATGTAAAGCAAGGAAGAAGCCGTGGCTGTCAGAACACAATAAGAAAAATCGGTTGGAGTGGGCCCTCAAACATAGAGATTGGTCAGTGGAAGATTGGTCCAACATACTGTGGTCAGACGAATCTAACTTTGAGGTATTGTTATTTATTTTATGTACAATATTAAAACACATAAATGTTTTTAAAATAACGTACTGCAAGAAAAATAATAACTTTGAAAATAAATGGGTTTTTTTCGTTTGGCATAGGTGTTTGGAACACCCGGTGTGACTTATGTTAGGCGAAGGGTTGGCGAAGAATACAACCCAGAATGTGTGGTTCCCACTGTTAAGCATGGTGGATGCTCAATAATGATCTGGGGCTGCATGGCTGCCGACGGAGTGGGCGAAATGGTGTTGTGTGAGGGACGAATGAATAGTGTTAAATACACTGAAGTTCTGGAAACAGCACTAGCAACGTCGATAACGCAAATTTTCGGTGATACAAACACCGATGGCCTGAAATTACAGCAAGACAACGCCACTTGCCACAAGTCCGCGCATACCATGAAGTGGTTTGCTGAAAATCATATTGATCTTTTGGACTGGCCACCACAATCACCAGACCTCAACCCGATTGAGCATATTTGGTCCATTTTAAAGAAAAATATCCGCAGGCACTCGATTAGCAATAAACAAGCTCTATTGGCCGCGGTACAGCAGGAATGGAAAAATATATCAAGAGAAGAATGTTTCAGGCTGGTAGAGTCAATGCCAAAAAGAGTGGCTGCGGTTATTAAGTCAAAAGGTGGACCTACAAAATATTAATTATTTTCTTAAAATAAACCATTGTAATCATAAATGCAGTTTTATTTACACTCGCTATGCTAAAACACTCTAAAACTTGTCCTACTGTAGGGTGCCTAATACTTTTGCCCGTGGCTATATATACCTGATTCTTATTCGTTTGGTCTTCTAACATTTAATAATAATTATATGATTATTTTTCCTTGTATGTTTTAGATTCGCGTATTCAGCTATTGCAAATAATAATTAACAATAATTTGGAGCGGTAATCAAGTTTTTGGTTGACATATTATTTTTTTTGTTTCTACTAGCGATACGTCCAAATGGATCTACGTAAATAAAATTAAACTTTCAAATAGTTCAAGATAAATTAAAAATTGTATTTTGATCACAATAAGTCTAGTTACATCATTTTATAGAAATCAAATTACTAGAATTGATATCATCATTGGCCTTTTTCATCTATTACAGATGATTTAAGACAGTGTGTGATTATCATGGACACTTTCACGCATTAGTTTCACCGCTGTTGGACTGCGACGGCGGAGTGTCCTCTCCACAGATGTTCACTGTCAAGCCTGGGATACTATTTAGGAAATGTAGGTTTTCCCACCTTCCTACATTTCCCTCTCGACCTCGCCAGTTAAGCCCACAGGAGTGAAAAGTCATTACGTGTGGAGCTGGTTTGGTTGCAGGAACTGGCTCGTGCCTGACGGAGATTCCAATTCGGACTTATTTCGAGTTTTCCTTCTATGATGATGGCTTTGCAAGTTCCCTTAAAAAAAAAACTGCAAAATACGGCCAACATCCAGTACCGCAGTCGCCTCTTACGACACCTGGTACTTGACGGTGGCACTATTCTCCTCTGCTGATGACACACGGCTAGAATTGATATAGAATGATAAAAATTAATTATATCCCATTTTGGTCTAGTTTAAAAGATTTCGTTGGTCTAACATAACTCACGTAAAGTATATACATATTATATATAGAGATCGGATCATATCAAAATTTATGCAGAAACTGTAGGTACTATTCACAGAAGAAGAACAATAGAAATGCGTAGGTTCTTTTACCACAAGTTTGCATCGTTAAAATTTACACGAATAATGTTACGTAACAGGTAGATGAATGCAAAACTGGTAAACAATATATAATTAGTGTGACATTTCAAACTTATTGTATGTACTGATTGTATTTCACGATAAAGCACACAAGTATTGAAATTGTCTTAGAAAAGTGGGTAAGATATTACAAAATACATTACGAAAGTCAAAATTCAAAACCGGTTATAACCAGTATATACTACTTTATCTTGTAATCTCATTTCTTTACCAAACGTCGCCTGATTAAACTGCTCCCCCTGATTACTACTCTATTACATTTTAAACTCACCGCCTCATTTTCCTTCTATTGCTCTCACAATCAAGCCTTTGTATTACGAATTGAACGTCTCCTTTTCAACTTTATTTCGTAGAATTCTGTTGTATAGAAGTCGTATAATTTCTTAAATGATTTGCTTTCTTTATTTTTATTGAAAGGTTTTAAGTAGTAGCAATATGTTAAATTTTAGTCAACTTCAATATGAATGTAAATTATTAGTTGAACTGAAATTAACACACATATACATTAATTTTTATTGATAGTAACATTGTGAAATATTTATTATAGGCTCTCATGGATTATCTTTAAAGGTAATCCCTTAAATGTCAACTATCGACAGAAGAATCAAGAAAATTAAATTGAAATAGGATTTTTGGCATTGGCAAAATATTTCACGAATCCAGTGCGAATAAAGCCATAGCATAAAAAAAATAGGATTTTTTTACGTATAAGAAACTTGATTTGTAACTTTCTACTATTCGGTAAGTACTACGATAATCTATATTATACTACACTATAAATACAAACACGGATCATATATACAACACATTGAAAGCAAAAACCAAAACTTCCTGGACTAAATTCCTCCGATAAATGATAGCCATTTAACATCCTACATTTATCCTCATACATACATCAAATGAATATATGTTACATTAGATGGTTTCTAACTAGCAACACAAAAACTACGGAATCGTACGGCGTGTGGCAAATTAACGATGAGATACGGAACGGAACGGAATCATTAATGGCTGGGGAGAAATGGACGTCATTATCAAATATCTAGTATGAATAATGCGGGAATTGGCATTTGGATACGGAAATTGCCAATTAATGTGCCCTCCCCTCTCTCCGTAATACGCTGCCATATCTAACATTTTCTAGAAGATCTATGTATATTAAATTGTTTTATACAAATTATACGTATTTATTGATAATTATCACATCTACCCGCATTGCGGACGTTCTAGTACTTTACGTTCATTGTACTAATTATGAAATATTTTTAATATTATTATATATATTGAACACCAATTCTATAATAAATATCTGATACAATTATGTTTGGACTCTATGTTTAATACATTTCTGTGATTGGTTAATAGAAATTTAAATTAAGAATAAAAATTTATATATTGCAAAAGCAATAATAACTAATGAAACAATCCATGAAATTACTAACAAATCGACTGCATCTTGTTGATGTTAATTTTATATAAATCGAAAACAAAAGATACATCGAATTTAAGTAAATAAACCTTAATAACGTTATACATTGCTGGTTTTATACTATTATAAAATATTAATCACGAATAAAAACGGCAATGAAAATGTAGCAATGAAATTGCGTTATAAGATATTCTTAACTGAATCAGTAGCCGGGGTTCAGCATCCCGTCGGCTACGGCAGTCCTCTACGGATCGTAGCAGCCGTGCTACGCTCGGTTACGTCGTAGCATATAATAATTCGTACGTATTTGACGATACGTAAACTGTTAATACGGAACAGAGTTGTTAATCGTGATCAATTAATCGGTTAAAAGAGTTTTTTTTATATTAATTAATAATATTTAATAACTATAGCTGGTATAATTAATTTTTTTTTGGAAGCCCTTTATTTCATGACGTGCCATTGTTAGAATTCATAACGGGTATCGACTTAACGCGGCTCAGAAATGAATTGTTTCGGTTTTAATAAACGAGCAACATTACAAAAGAAGACGAATATAATTAAATTAGCATATTTATATATTTTTTTATAATTGAACAATAATATTTGTTTTTCTTCATATAATATTTAAATGTATTTTTAATTTTATCATTGAATAATTCTTATTCTTAAATTATTAGCAACTATATTGGTGAAAATTTCATAAGTATAGCAAAGAAATATATTTATATTATATTTAATAATATACATATATATGAGATTAATTAAGTAAAACCTTTTTGGTATAAAGTACCAATTTTCTCAAACAATGACGCTATTAACTAAATGTTGGCACTTAACGTTTTCGCAGATCGCGTCGATGTGAAAATTACTCTTTTGTTTAAGAGTATATAGAAAAAAAAAAATTGGTAACTAAAATAAGAATAGGTTCAGTGTGAAAAATGTGTTCTTTCAAGTGGATTGTGTGTATAGTAGCATTGTTTGCGGTAGATGTACACACTGGCGCTTTGCAAACAACTGGTAAGTTTAATATTAATATTCTATAGTAAATTTCCTATATTGAAGTTTTATTAAGCTAAATAATTGATACATGATAAAATAATATCATAATCACACAAAAATAAGGTTTTATGCCTGTTTGTTGCTCGTGGCTATTTCTTTTATATATTATTAACTTTAATTAAATTAATGTTTTTTTTCCTTGTTGAATCGTATGTATTAAAATTTTAATAGTATATTTGAATTATGATTGATAATTCTAATGTTTAGTAAATTAAAAAAGTTTTTTATTTATATTTTGAGCATGATACATATTATTTGTTTAAACTAGTAATACTTTTAGACAATTTCACAAATAAAACCTATATTTTAATATGTGAAAATTAAAAAGTGCCATTTCTCGACTATAATAGAAATGATTTGTTTTGAAATATTCATTTAAAAAGTACAATTCATTCCAAAGTAGATACACTGATATTATTTATTTAAAAATGTTTTTAAAATACTTATTCTAATAAAAAAACTTTTCTATTTTCGTAAAAAAATACGTCCAAGTAATCCTACGCTAATTACGGACGCCCGAAATGTTTTTTGTACAAACATTTGTTTTAAATTAGAATTCTAAAAATATAAATATGTTTAATTAAAGTGTTATTGTAGTTCTATGAAGAGCTTTAAATTTTATATTAGTTTGTTATTTGATATTTTTAAGTTATAAAAAAGGTTGTAAAGGATAAAGTATGAAGGTAACTTAATATAGTTATGTGAAAGAAGCTAATATTTGACAGTAATATTTATATAGCTTCTTTAAGTTACATAGTTTAATAAATGAAATATTATGATAATAGATTTTCTGTAATAGTAAAGATTTTTGATTTCAACACAGATATTGAAGTTCATATATAGGTTTAGGTTTAGGTTTGAAGATCTTTATTCTCAACAAGACAGTACATAGTCACTTATTTGAGAACATTACTAACTTAAACATATAATATTGTTAACATTCCAAGTTTTATTTAATTTGTAGTGGTTACTACAAAATCAATAAGAGAATAAAAGAAAAGGAAAATATATATGTATATACGAGTATATGTGCATATGAACAGAATTTGTTGATTCTTTTTTATACCTAATCATTAATGAAATTCCTAATATTGGTTTGTTTCATAGTTAAAATAAATTTTAATATCTGTTCTAAATCAATTATGCGACCGATATATTATGTGGTACAATTTACACGTGATAATAATCAAGTGGAATTTTATATGAGGAAATTAAAACGATGTTGACGCGATTCATGAATACGTAGAACATAAAATTACACGTTCAATGTTCATAGTGCAATCTAATATATAAAATCAAATAGAATTTGATCAAACAGCGTCTGTAAATTGATATAGTATACTTAAATCACAAGGGACTCAATTGACCTCATTCGAATGAGGACAGAGCTTCTTATATTATTCAATGAGAACTCTTCAGAACTCAAGATTGTGCCTACATCAAAACCGATGGCGTAACACAAAAACATTATGGAATTTACTTATAATCATCAAATATATATGAAAAGAAACTCAAGTGCTGTTACGAATGTATGTACTTCATAGAGCGACGGTTTATTATCTTTTGTGGGTATAAAACTAATGTTTTACACCGACTTTACTGAGTTTTAAGCTAAATTTTTCTATACTTTAATTATTTGGCAAGATTATTAATTTTTCAAAATAACAGTACCTACTTGTGAGATTTTAGATTAAGAGCAATTGTTTTATTATTCAGTTTTTCTATGATAAAATCTCTATATATAAATTTTCACCGCGTATTGAAAGCATTATTAGAAGAAAATCACACATTCTAATGATTTCCCTGGATGCACGATTCTACGAAACAATTGAAATTTATTTCTTTCTAGCTTTCCGCCCGCAGCTACGTCCGCGTGGAGTTCGGTTATATCGCGTTTCCAAGAGAACCTTCCAAAAGTGTGGGATAAAAACTATCCTACGTTTTTTCTCAAGATCAACTCTATCAAAATCAGTTCAGTGGTTTAGGCGTGAAAGCGTAACAGACAGACAGATAGACAGGTAGACAGAGTTACTTTCGCATTTATAATATTAGTAGAGATTAATATAAACATACAAAACAGGAAAATGTATACTTCCTTTGTGATTTCAAAGAGACATTTAAATTTTATTAATATGAATACAGTCTAGTCACTATTACTAGACTTGTAATTAAAATTAATGAACAAAGATCTATAACTGTTATCTTATAATAAATCTGTAATTATGTTTCATGAGAATATAATATTACACCGTATCAATACCAGATCGACCATAAACATCGATTTTCTAAAATTGGAAATACTGCATCGCCCTATAAGCGGTTTTTCTACGACCTTTTGTGGTAACTTTATATTGAATTACACCCTTATGGGTGGAAAAGGATGTGTTAGCAAATATTACTTTTGGATTTAGATTTGATTTAATGCTGTGAGAGTATGGTAATGGTTTATGGATTATATTTAAGAAGTAATGATTAAAGATGGCGTATTAACGCTTTCATAATCTGAGATTAGTCTTTACTTTGAACATTCAATGCAAGATTGTTCGTTCTGTTAGAATTTTAATAAGAATTATAATGCAAAAGTTAATTTAATATAAGAATTTAATTATTCTATACACATAATTAAGACTGTTCAAATATTTTTTTACGGAACTGTCAAAAAATGTAAATTATCAAATTGTATACGCCATTTTTATTTGACATTATTAAAGTATTTTATTGTAGGGTGTGCATTTAATTTCGTGGTTCCTTATGCTAGTATAATTAAGGTTGAAGGGTCGTTTGTACAGTATGTTGATTTTGGTATAAAAGTTTGGGGTTTGGTCCCATAGTGTCCAAAAAACATGGATACGAATTTAGATGAAGATAATATTTTATACCCATGAGTCCTTTCTTTGATCTTAAAGTATTGACCTGATAATGTTTTTACATACATCAAAGACGAACCTTTTCTCTATTTACATATATATTTTAATACCGATATATATAACAAATATATAACACTTCTTTTATCCCCTATATACGTTTTATAGTTGGCTGCATTTCAGTGATAATAAATTATGTGGTCTCAGTCTCCGTTCAATACAAAACTATTATAGAAAATTCATAAATTGAAGCAGGGGCATGTTTAAAGCCTTAGACAGGAAGTAAAGCGGTGTGTATAAACAAGAAGTTGTTTGTTGTGTTGAGTGGCTCCAGTAAAGCCTTTGTTGAGTTATGACTCTGCGGTCGAAGATATCTACAGCAAGCAAAACTTTATCGTTTGAATTATAGTACATTTAAGACTTATTGTTTGTATAAACTTGAGATTGGAGCCGTATTCATAACATCCATTACGGCGTTCCCTTGTTATAAATAAATTTACATTTCTTATTTAGCGATGGAATTCTTATATTTCTTTTACATTGTTATTTAATGAAAATAATTTTGCCTGTAATTAAGATTTCTATATTTGATCACACAGCCGAAACATGTTTGGAAATGAATTAAATTATAAATTAATATAAAAAATATAAACAAGCTTAATTTTATGTTAATAAATAGTCTTATTCTAAATATTATAAGTCATGATTGCGACGTCATCACATACACACATACACACACACACTTACATCTACATAGATACAGATATAGAAAATTGTGTATTACAGGTATATCCTCACGAAGATGTCATCACTGCGTACATAATGCTACAAACAACTGCGAGGGAGGAGATCAAATAACTGTTCTGTGTCCGATAGGAGAGCCTTACTGTGCGACTGTGGCTATAGCACCCAGTGAGTATGATGTAGTTACTAGACAATTAATCAACTAGTATCTACACTACAAAGTGCCGACAGAGTCAATGGAAAATTAATCTTATAATGTACTACATAAGATTTATATTTGTATGATACAGCCGTACATCCTTGTTGGTAATGGATTATGACCGTTTATTGATTATTTGTTTTGATCGGTCATCAAATCTGTCGGTTCTAAATGTATGAACATCTATGTGTTATGTCTGGCGGAGATACATTATCTAGAATGTTTTGATAGAAATTTATCAATGATTTCTAATATCCTTCTATTTTCTTCTCCCGGAAATTAAAAACAGTTATTCTTATAAGTGTGTTACATATCATTCGAGATTAATTTCGTACATGGAGTATAATGAATTTTAATTAAATACTCGCTAAGTATGAAATGTGTTATAAAATTTTAAGCACGTCTTCAAAATTTAATCTTTTAAAAGATATTATAACAAAAGCGGAGAGTTATGTCGAGCACGTCTGAGTCTGCTAAGATTAATGTGGAAATAGCCGCAGACTTTCCCAATGAAAGCCAAAATGAGAGCCAATAAATTTCAATCGATTGTTCTGGAGGCTAGAAAAATACGGGATTTAATAACCGTTTGAGTTCTCGAACACTTTATAAAATAGAAGCTCGAACACAAAAAAAATATACGTCATCGATTTGACGCGGGTTTTTAGATGGCCCAATCTCGGTCCTGATGGTTTTATTTTAGGGACGCGACGATTACGTAGTAAGGAACTCCGCTTTATCTTTTGTCCCAAGTAATAAAATTCTCTTACAATCTACTATACTACCACTATATTAACACTGCCAATTTTATATATGTTTTTATATAGTATATGATATTGTTTCACAGATTTTATATCAACAGTAACGTGTGCAGCTGCAAGCGACTCTCCTTGCTTATTAAGATTTAATTTGAAGTCCGCCCTGGAGTTGATCTGTACATGCACTAAGCCCCTTTGCAATTTGCCGTATTCCACTCAACTACGGAACGAGCTGTTAAATTTTTCAACGAATATTCAGTCTAACGCTAGCGATGAGCTCACTGAAGCGTTCCTAAAATCCTCGATGTTTGCAAACGTGACTAAAGCGAAACTGTATGATATGATAACCTCTGCCGGGGAAGCGATTGTTAAGCCTTCATTTTTGTCGCCCCAATCAACGGCTATTGATTTAGAGTCGATCGATATTGAGGAAATTAAACCTCGTGCTGAGAGTCTAAAGCAAGCGACTGTTCCACCTGATGATGAAGATGACGGCGAGGGTAGCGGCTTGGAAGACAGCAAGACTCCTGCATCAGCCCCAGCAGCGCCAAGTTCATTTTTACCGGCCCAAGAAAATAATGCGTCGTCATTAATATTAAATGTATATTTGTTATACGCATTTATGTATCTGCACAACCTGTAGTTTCCTAATAATGTAAATCCTTTACAGATTATAATAAAAACCATAAAAAAATTAAATTAAAGAATTATAGTGTTTACATTGAAATATAACGCGTGTATATAAATAAAGGGAACAAATTTCCAATTTAAATCTCGTCATTGCCAAAATATTAGATAGTAAGTCAACACTTCTATACAATATAAAAAAAAATATTAACGTCTACAAGGTTTGATAGAGACATCTGGTTTTAATATTTAATTGTATTAGAAATGTAATTAAATATTCGTCAATTGATCACGAGATATGAGAAATATTTAGACTTTAGATTGAAGATTTAAGTTACATTATCACAAAGAAAGTATACTTCTACATTCAGCGTAATAAAGTTTTTTTTATCATACTAAAACTTTTTAATTAACATTATATATGTGTTGCCTTTAGTAGATTGAAGTTTTACTATAAATTATCTCTCATTTAATATAAATTAAATATTATTTTATAATTATTTGATGAAAATATGTACAAAATTTTCAGACTATGTAATTTTGGTCGCATTTTTCTTTCTTTCTATATAAATATTAGGTTAATATGAATAAATGAATAGCACTATTTTTATTTCAATCAAGCACATTTATACATTTCAATAATTTATTCTGTAGATGTCAATTATTATTATGTACCTATTACGAATGTCACACGTCTTCAGATGTGTTATTGTGATTTAATAATAAAGAATAATAAAATAAAAGTGTTTATTATTTCTTATATAAAACCTTTTTTGTAAACTTATTTTTTTTAAATTTATTATACACAAAGAAGTTTGGATTATAAATGAATTATGAATACTCAAATTACAATTTGTTTTCTGTAGATAGAGATATCAGAATCCAAAAGTAATTGGGAGTCTAACAAAAAACCAATTTCTTATCTTATATAACCTTATAAATTTGTACCTTCCTATTAGTAATAAGAAATATTATTTGTTCATTATTATTTTTGCTTCGAACCGTGTGGATCAATATTAATTCCCTACAGATGTAGCTACAAGTCTGCTCAGCTTGCTCAGACGACCTCTGTCACCGAATGAAACTCGTAATACATTCCGTTTGGCTCATAATTACGTTCGGTTTTGAATTTCCAAATGGTTGAAATCAAATTGTCATACATTTAATGAGATTTTTATTAAAAGAAAAATTCTCCCAAAATGTATACAAGTGTCATGTCTGAATTTTCGAGTGTAATCTAATTAGGCTAAGATCGCAACATACATTTTTTTATTTAAAATTCACTGGGGATTTAATTCTGAAAATTTTTGGATGAAAATTTTTAACGTCAGTTATAAGTTGATACGTGACTTTTCAAGAGTGTTGACAGTTGAAGGTAATTTGTTTTATCTCTCAGCCTTTCATTCAACATACGTTGAAACAAAAACCGAATAAAAATTTTTCAATATAAAATTTTTATATATGAATAAAAACGAGGCCTTTTTCAGTTAACGTGATCTGATTAAAAAGGAACAAAAGTATTATTCCTACTATAGAAATTTCAATATTCCTTCAACACTAAAAACAAAAAGGCTAATGTAAAAGTTAATATGTTATATTTAATACCATTCAGCGCGAAATCTGGCCCGCATCGTAAAAACATATGCCCCTATAAAATATCGCTAGGATAAATACCCACATCATAAAAAAGAATTTCCTATGAAATTACTTTAATAAAAAAATATATTTCCGCACTTGGTACTTAACTTTATATTAGTTATAAAATTTGTTACAATTTTCAACAGCATTCTCGAAACATATAAAACCTTTTTAATAGAAATTAAACACATTTCAAAATCTATTAACACTTAACAGTATCAGTCTCTTTCATCTTAAATTAATTCTTAATTAATTCAAATGATACTTGAATGCGAAGTGATCATAAAACTTTAAACACGATGACACCTTTAGAAAGCTTATATTAATTCCAAACACTAATTAGTTTTGAAAGCGTTCCCTTGCCACTTTAATTCTATGTCATGTTGTAAAACTTTCTCGTAGTGCAATCCATTCTTGCATTTATTATAGTCATAGTTTGTAACAAATACTTATTACAGTATAATGAATTTAATTTTAAAGTACGACAACAACATTTTAGTAATGGCTATATTTTTAAAATTGTTATGGGATGATAAGTTATATTTCTATTTTAAATCATACCAATATATGTTTAGATTTCCTAGAGACTCTTTTTTCTTTTTTTTGTGGTATATTGTAGCAGAAAGAAGATTAACTCTGTGTACTCTATTAAGCTGTGTTTTAACGGTATTGATACCGGAGCACCTACGTCCTACTTTCTCTTACTTGCAATAGATTTTGCTAAACATAGCTAGGACTGTCAAAAGTCTTTCATGTTAATTCGACGGTATACTTGTTTATGGAAAACATAATAGAGGAAAATCCATTAAACTAATGTTTCCATCTACAAAAGTTGTCGACAGCCCCACTTGGGTTTAGAGTAATATATGTTAGTAATATGTTTTTTGGAAGGTTTCCCGAATATATTTTTGTGATCCATACGATGTTTAAGATTTATATTTTACAATGATAGAATGAAAGTCTACAATAATGAGGTAATTTATTTAAACAAACTTTTTTTTTATTTATATAATTTTAGTGTACGTGTGTATATCATTGCATTCCTCCTAAACGGCTGGACCAAATTGAATAAAATTAAATTTAAAAACTATCATTTAAAATGTTTATTATGTTTTGAATATGTTTAATAAATGCATATAATAAATGTATATTTGATGAGTTGAATGAAATACCACAAACCGAAATAGAGGCAGAGAGACCACACTATTTAATGTTTAATTGGTTTTGGTAACTAGGTGGCGTATGCTTCAATATTATTCATATTGCATTTATGGTTAAATGTTTAACTAAAAGAGAAACAAAGAGTCGAATATAATTTCAATACCAGTAAAGGAGTATTGTTAAACTAAGAGAAAAAATATATTATTATAACAGAAAATTGACGAATCACAATGATTCAGGAATCAAATTATTTATACTTCTTCCCAGCATAAACAATTGAGTCCGTGTGATATTTATACTACTGTGAAATCTTCTTGGTTTATCAATATGAAATTGTAATGATAAGAAAATACACTTCAAGAACCATATTATTTACTGGTTTGTAAAGGAATAAGTTATTTGTGAATTTGTCAAAGTGATTTGTATTTCTTCACCATATCAAAAAGTCGTTAGCGAGACATTGTTAACGAGTTCGCGACGGAATATGAATAAATACTAAATGTAACTACACAATGCACTTTTGCTATATGGAATATATTTTAAATTACTACAAAAATACCAATTTTGTTGATATAAAGTTTTAAAACAGTTCCATATTTGTTGAATGTAAATTTTAATAACTTGATGGCAGTTTTATATTTTTATTTAAGTACTCGTGGTTTTTAAACTCTATCTCAACAATAGGTAGAATAGTTTTTTTAGAGAAATCACACTTATGTATATTTATTATTACATGTTATATTCCGATGTAGTTATTGACTAAGTCTATTTACATTATCAGCATTTATTACCCGTATGTGTGAGTATCATTTAACACAATTTGAAGGAAACTTTGTAATCATATATAAAACCGATTTGGAAAGAATTTTCACCAACCAGATAAGTAAGTATTAATTTCCATCAGATGACAATAATTTTCTATCAGACTAAAAAAAATATTTTAAAACTTTAATGTGTTATTAGACTACTGTTTAATATATGAGAAAAAGTTGTGGGTTTTTGAAACGACATAGATAAAACGGGAAAGTAATGGTTTCTGTATATTAAACTAACGAAAAAAACATACAAGTCCATATTTTAATAAATAACCTTTACATAAAGTAAAGATATTAATGAAGAAAAGTTCTTTTTGATATACACAACACTTCATTAATTAATGTATGTTTTCCTTCAAGTTATAAATATTAATACAATCTCTTTGGTTCCTGTCATCCCCTTTCTTTATTTTGCTCTGAAAAGCGTTTTGCATATCTAATTTTTGAATAATTTATCTCCGTGCAGACGTCTCTACTGACTTTTTAAAAGATGCTGGAAATAAATTCATCTATAATAAAAGGATAAATCAAAACAATATTCTATGTATTAAAGTTTTCTCAACCTATTGTGATTGTTTATATTATATTTTTCACAGTGACATTTAATTTATTTCGGATTGAATTTACTAAAGAAACATTACGTAAATTTATGACATAATATAAATTCTATTAAAAGATTCCACTAATCTTATATGAACTAAAATATATTCAATACTAGTTTTGCCCGCGACTTCGTCCGCGTTAGTTTGGTCAAGAGTAATATATGTAGGTATAGCTGACCAGGCTATCTCTATTCCATCTTAGAGGCCATAAATAATCAGGTTTTTCCTGTTTCAATCAAACAGAACGATTGACATATTAGTTAGTTGTCAAATCTAATGTCAAAAAAAACGTTTGTATGGGAAATAGAAAAGGGGTGTTTTTAGGGTTTTTCCAGAAATTATTCCGATTTTTCTCACCTTTCAAACTTTCCCTGGACTTCCAGAAGTATTTCAAGACTAAAATTAGCCAAATCGGTTCAGCCATTCTCGAGTTTTAGCGAGACTAAGGAACAGCAATCCATTTTTATATATATAGAAGATAATTTAAATATTTTATATATCTTTATTAATAATTATTTTTACAATATTATATAGTGTCATATATTTTTAAATCACATATCCCATTATTTTTACTAAAAAATTATTTTAAATACAAATATTTTTGATAGTCTTAGTTAGTTGTTATCAACCTTAAAAGGGTACAACTTTTCCGAGTTTCAAATCAAACTGTATTGAAACGGTCTCAATGTTTCTGTCATGAAACCGTAGCAAAAAGATAAATACAAAGTCTATTGAATGTGCAATATTGGCTTCGTGGCTGGACGTCGTAATTAACGATTTTGTCAGCCAATTATTTATGT